TATATATAATTCAAAACATTTAAATGTTTATTTTGAGATCTTGGATGGTTAAATCTCATAGGTCTCAAATTGTTAAAGTCTATGAGTCTGAGAAGTGTTGAAACTACATATGTCAGTATATACTGTATTACATACAGTATTGTTTCTGCATTCATACTGACTACAGAGCTCTAGGTATGATTGGCAGGAACCTAGGAGCTGTGTCATGGTGTCCTTGATCCTGCCAGTAAAGGGTAAGAGTATGAGGAGACCACTGGCAACCTACATAAGCAGATGGTTGTGGAACTTGCGTTGGCAACAGGGTTTTGGCTCCTACAACCATGGGACTCTGTTTGAAGTGTCTGCCTGAGAGGAAACATGGGATCCACCTCGCTAAGGCTGAACAAAGGCATCTTTGCCAATGGTATGGCTGTCATAAGGAAGGTATTGAACTAGAAATGTTGGACAGTAACTGACAGCACCGTAAGAGAGTGACTGACAATGTAGATGAGCAAAGGGCCTGCAGTAATGTGATAGAAAGCAATCACAAAATCAGCAATACAGGGCTTAAGCAGGGTCACCTCTAGCATTTGCATAGAACCAAGGAAATGCCTGCAAGGCACTATCATGGAGAAATCCCCAAAACCATTTCTGAGAAATCTGCATGCCAGGGAACCTCTCTGAAGTGCATGTACAGTAGCGTGTGCAGCATGGGGAATAACCGTGATGGGTCAGAGATCTGTGTGCAGTTGCAGGGCTGAGATCTTGTTGGGAGACTTGCAACTCTCAACTCCAGGAGAGCAGACTTTGGCCTCTTCAAAGTGTCCCCAACAAAAGAAGTACATGGAGTTGTTGGAGTGAGTCCAGTGCAAGGCCACAAAGATAATCAGAGGATTGGAGCACCTCTCCTATTGAAGACAGGCTGAGAGAGTTGGGGCTGTTCAGCCTGGAGAAGAGAAGGCTTTAGGGAGACCTTATAGCAGCCTTCCAGTACCTGAAGAAATGCTGAGGAGGGACTTTTTTTACAAGGGCATATAGTGATAGGACAAGGGGTAATGGCTTTAAACTAGAAGGGGGTAGATTTAGATTAGACATTAGGAAGAAATTCCTTACTCTAAGGGTTGTGAGCTACTGGAACAGGTTGCCCAGAGAAGCTATGGATGCCCCCTTCCCTGGAAGTGTTCAAGGCCAGATTGGATGGGGCTTTGAGCAACCTGGTCTAGTGGAAGGTGTCTCTGCCCATAGCAGGGGGTTGGTCCCTTCCAACCCAAACCATTTTATGATTCTGTAAGGCCCAAGAAAGCTTGTTAATATTGAAGGATCACTTCTACCAAGGTCAAGAGTGGTCTATCCCAATGAGCAGTAAATCAGGTTCCAGGAGCTCTTTCAAAACTCCAACACAGAAAGGAGGCATAAAGAAGGTGGTAACAGGGACAAATATTCCTGTGAGAAATAGGAATACTGTTTGAGCTTGCTGAGATGGGGTTAGGAAAGCCAAAGTCCATCTGGAAGTGAATCTGGCAAGGGATGTTGAAAGCAACAACAGGGCTTCTATAAGTACATAGGTGACAAAAGGAAGATTAAAGAATATGTGGGCCTACTGTTGAATGAAGCAAGTGACCTGGTGACAGAGGACGTGGAAGAAGCCTAGGTTCATTTTTGCCTCATCTTCAGGTATCCAGGGTCCTGGTGGTTACTGAGAAAGTAAGGCTGGAGCAAGAGAGGCGTACCTGTAGTGGAAGAGGATCAAGTGAAGGAATACTTCAGCAAGCTGTGTACATATGTACATCTAGGAGCCATGATGGGATGTACCCAGGACTGCTGAGGGAGCAGACTGTTGTCATTGTGAGACCTCTTGATAATCTTTGAATGATCACGGTGACTGGGAGAAGTGCCCGAAGACTGGAAGAATGTAAATGTCATTCCTGTCCTCAAGGAGGAGGATCTAGCGAACTACAGGCTGGTCAGCTTTACCTTGATCCCTGTGAAGATGATGGAGCAGCTAATCCTGGAAGCTATTCCCAGGCCCATGAACAACAACAAGGTGACTGGGAGTAGCTGGCATGGTTTGATAAAGAGGAAACGATGAATGGCCCACCTGATAAACTTGTGCAATGAAATGACTAGTTTAGTAGGTGAGAGATGAGCAGTGGATATTTAGACAATGTGGCTTTGGTAAGGCTTTTGGCTCTATCTCCTGTAAAATCCTCACAGAGAAGCTGAAGTATGAGCTGGATAAACAGACAATGTGATGGATTGAAAACTGGCTGACTGGCTGGGCCCAGAGGATGGTAATCTGTTACTTGAAGTCTATTTGGAAGCCAGTAAATAGTGGTGTACCCCAGATAACAATACTGGGTCCAATCCTATTCGGTATCTTCATTAATGATCTGGATGATGGGATAGAATATACCCTCAGCAAGTTTGCTGATGACATAACTGAGAGGAGTGGCTAATATGCCAGAGCATTGTGCTGCCACCCAGAGGGTCCTCAGCAGGCTGGAGAAATGGACTGACAGGAATGTCATGCGGCTCAACAAAGGGAAGTGCACCTGGGAAGGAACAAACCCATGCACCAATATATGCTGGAGACCAACCATCTGGAAAGCAGCTTCATAGGAAAGGACTTGGGAGTCCTGGTGGACACCAAGTTGACCATGAACCAGCAGTGTGCCCTTGGAGCAAAGGGGGCAAATTCTATTGCCAGGAGGGTGAGAAAGGTGATCCTTCCCCTCGACACTGGTGAGGCCATGTCTGGAGTGCTCTATCCAGTTCTGGGCTCCCCCATATGGCAGAGACATGGACATACTGGAGAGAGTCCAGTGAAAGGCCACAAAGGTGTATAAGGGACTGGAGCATCTCTCATCTAGAGAAAGACAGAGAGCTGGGACTGTTTGTCCTGGACAAGAGAAGGCTCAGGGGGATCTTACCAATGGTTGTAAATACTTGAAGAGAAGGTGCGGAGAGGATGGAGCCCGGTTCTTCTCAGTGGTGTCCAATGACAGGACAAGAAACAGTGGGCACAAACTGAAACACAAGAGGCTCCACCTGAACATAGGAAACCGTTGTTTACTGTGAGGGTGACAAAGCATTTGAGCTGGTTAACCAGAGAGGTAGTGGAGTCTCCCTCCTTTGAGATATTCATAAGATAACTGGATGTGGACCTGGGCAGCCTGCTCCAGATTACTGTGCTTGAGCAGGAAGGTTTGACCAGATGACCTCCAGAGGTCCCTTCCAACTTCAACCATTCTGTGATAGGATGATGTTTGTTGGCTAAGCCTGTCAGCTGGAAGAAAGCTTTGCCAGAATGTTACACAAGTGCATGTAGTAAAGCTAAGAGTGTAATAGTTTTTGTGATCTAAGTTTCAAAGATGGACTGGAAAATCTGAGTTCTGTGGAGCTTTTGTTTTACTACTTGTTCTGTATTTGTTGTGATATGTAGTCATGCAATTAAGCAGTGCTAATTGTTCATAGACTTTTTTAAAATTCAGCTCAAAGGAGGTGTGGTTTTAGCACAAATAAGCTAGAGTTATGAAGTGACTGCAGCTGCTGGCCATAGCATGCTTTCTTCTTGTGCAGTTTAAAAGCTGTTATGTTTAATGCAATGGGATAGCAAGGAGATACCCTATTACTTTCTGATTAAGCTGTTTTCAACAAAGCAACATTTCGGTCCTGTTCCTGCTTGACGTGGCTTTTTTTAAAGGTCATTTAAGCAAAAGTTGTGGAATGCGCATCCAGGGAGCATAGAGGCTGCAGTTAAAGGCCCCTTGCAACATCTGACACCTGCAGAACAAGTCACTGTTAAATTTGGATGCTTTGCACAGGTGAGGAGCAAGGTCTTGGCCCGGAAGCTGAATACATTCTGACTTCTTTAGTCAGTGAACTTAACTGTAGCTGTCAGCAAAACTTTCAGTGTATCCTCTTTAAAATGTGACCTGTAATTATGCTGCCTCTTAGAAGGGGAGGTAGGAAGATAATTTATTTAATATTAGTGGAGGCAATTTTGGAAATACTTTTAGAAATGTGCCAAGAAGAGAAGTGATTCAAATGTATTTTCATTGTGGTCTCTGGATGATGCTTAAGAGGCTGCTGATAATGTTGAGAAGTAACAGGCTGTTTTGTAAGGAGCAAAACTAATGGTTTCCTGTGAATTTTTGACCTACATCCCATTATACCACCCTCTACTCCTTATGCACACGTTGCTGTGAGCATCCTCTTATCTTCCAATTTGCATGAATTGCAATGTGTTCTGTGCCTGGTTTAGAGCTACCAGCGTGCTAAATGCTGCCCCTCTTGAATTAAGGCTTGGATTACAACTGCTGCCTTCTCAGTTGGGGTACTAATTTGTGTCTGTCTACCTTATCTAGCCACAGATTTATTTTTTTTTCCTCCCCCAGCTCCTGCAGAAAAAAAAGTAGAGGTTTTGAGTCTGGGTCCTCCAACTCGGTAAAATTGGGTTGTTTTCTTAAGCGTTGTTTTCTTAAGAAATTGGTTAAAAATAGTAAGTATTCTTTTACCTGAGTTCTGCTTGGTGTGCTTATTGAGACAAGAGCTGTGCAGAAGAAAGAAATACTTAATCATGTAGAGGTCTTTTCATGCTGCATAACACCTTTTTTCACAGTTACTATTCATACAACTTCCTCTGCTAATCTCCTTTGTTTCTTTTCTGTAATTGCAGTGTTTCTCTCCTAGCCAAAAAGGCTGTATTCTGTAACTGGGGAACTCTTTTCAGCATCTAAAACCAATTTAGAGCAATTTCATTAGTGCTGACGCTTTACAGTTTTTTATTTTCTTGATCAAACTTACTTGGACTTCTTTCTAGTTTGTTAGGACATCAGTTTTTAGTGATGCTGACACTATTGTGTTAAGAGTTTTGCATTGTATATGGCTCACTGCTCCTGGCTTTGATCCCAATAAAAATGAAGCACAGTAAGTAATATTACCTGTCTTTTTTAGTATTTAAGATAACACTCCCTGCAGTGTGTGTGTGGCTGTATAAAATCCATACACACACATTTTATATAAAAGTGTGCGTATATATTAAAAAGGTATTTGTATCTATACATATGCAGACACAAACATTTATTAAGTGGTTTTGTTTGTATGCTATTTGGATTCTCTGTGTTCTGGTTTTTCAAATGTAATTCAGCATGTTGAGAACAGCTAAGTTGGCTTTAAAGTAGCTTCACAGCACTTTTTAAATGCATATTTTATTTCTACTGAATGAGTAAAATCCGTGTAAAGTAAGGATGAACTCTCTTTGATCAAGCTTGTTGGTAACTGTTGAAAACAGTACAATTAGCACTTTGACAATTACAGGCAAGTTCGGAATGGCCCTGCAAAAAGTTGTGTCCCAGCATGTTGGGATGATTTGTATTAAGAACTCATTTTACATTTATAAATCTTTATGCCTATGAGAACTTTTATAGCTTGGTGTATTTATTTTGATCCAGTGCCTGAGGACTGGAGGAAAGCAAATG